CCACACACACACACACGCGTGTACGCACGCACACACACACACACACACACACACACACACACACACACACACACACACGATACAAGAAACCCAAAAGCGCCCACCTCTGCCGCCGCGCGCGCCGCCTCCTCGCGCTCCTTCTCGGCGCGCGCCTGCTTGCGCGCCTCCCGCGCGTCCTGCTCCCGCTGCACGCGCTGTATCATCTCCATGACACTCTCGGCGCCGCCCAGCCCCGCGCCGCCGCCGCCGCCGCCCTCTTCCTCCTCCTCCTCCTCCGCCGCCGCATCCCGCTGCTCCACAACCTGCTGCTGCTGCTGCTGCTGCTGCTGTTGCTGCTGCTTGCCCTTGCCCTTGCCCTTGGCGTCCGCCGCGGCCGCGGGCACTGCGCCGGCGCCGGACGAGGTGGACGGGGCCGCCGCGTCCTGCTCCTCCTCCTCGCTGGCCGCCTGCGAGCAGGAGATGCGCAGCCGCGGGACGCGGGGGGCGCTCGGCTGGGGCCTCTCACACACCCCCCTCCCCCCGCCTGATTTGATGCGGGGGAGGGGCCTACGAATCCGTCCCAGCCAATGGCCATAACTGCCAATGGCCATCGGTGCCAGCTGCAAGCACAGCTTTGCAGGGGCCCCAGGCGGCTCTGCGTGTGCGCCCATGCGCGGCGCGTTGCAGTCCCTGACCCCCACCAGGGCGGCGCGGCGGCCCCGCGAACCGCACCTTTGCAGCCGCTGCGACGGTCGCCTTCTCCTTGCCCTTCTTCTTCTTGCTTTTCTTCTTTGCCGCGGCGGCCTCTTGGCGCTGCCGCTCGCGCTCTTTCTCAGCCTCCTCCTCCTCCAATAGCTCAGCCATGGCCTTTCAGGAGGTGTGGGGTGTTGGAGGGGGCAAACGGATGCGGGGAGAATTAGGTGGGTATGTCATCTACAACGCACAGCAGGAAGGATGGATGAGCAGGCAGGGGCTGCGGGTAGGCGTGCTCCGGCCTGGGCTTTGGCAGCCGAGTTTGCTGGGCCCAGGGTGGCGCGGCGCGTGCTGGGAGGGGCGGGCCTCAGTCCTATCATTATAAGCCTTCACGGTTTGGAAGTCAGGGTGTTGTTTGGCAATTTTGTCGTCCCAGGCCGCAGCCCCATGGGGAAAGTGCGTCCCGCACGCGCAACAGACGATGATGCATCACAGCGAGGCACAGCACAGCGCGGCGCAGTGCAGCGCAGCGCAGAACAGAACAGCGAGGCACAGCACAGTATACAGGCAGGTGAGCAAAGCAAAAGCAACGGCCCGACAGGTGCCTCAGTCCTATCATTATAAGCCTTCACGGTTTTGAAGTCAGGATTTATTTGGCAATTTTGTCGTCTTTGGCAGCAGCCGGTCGCGGAACAGCCGTACCGCACAGCCAAATGCGGGACGGCGCGGCCTGACACAGCACAGCACATCACACAGCACACCACGCCACACAACAGCGCGGAGCCCAGAGCATCAAATGAACCAGCAACAGCCACACGGGTGCCTCAGTCCTATCATTATAAGCCTTCACGGTGTGGAAGTCAGGGTTTATTTGGCAATTTTGTCGTCTTTGGCAGCCGTGGGGGCCGGAATCCGGCCAGCGCCGCGCCTTCACACAAAGCGAACACCGCAGCCTGCAGAGTGTGCTCTGCCGCACCACACAGGCTGCGCCAACAGCACCACGCCCCTCAGCTGGGCTCACCTTCGCGGCGGCTTCCTCCTTGGCCTTGCGCTCTGCTTCCGCCTGTAGGCAAGAGGCAGTGGCAGGCGTGTCGAAGCCAGACACAGTGCCGCGTTGCATGCATGCATGCATGCATGCATGTGTGCAGGCAGGCAGGGGTTGACGCGCAATTTCGCATGCACACGAGCTGGAGGCTGCATGCATGATCACCAGGGGCCGAAGATGCTGATGGCGACTGGCCCTGCATGCTGGTCTGGGGCCGCATGCATGCGCCAGCATCAGCAGTGGTAGCATGCGACCCCCCCCCACAAAAGCACACACCACTGGCCAGATCCAGAGGGCATGCACCAGACACACAGATGAGTAATTCTCATTGTCACCTTTGCAGCGGCCGCCGCCTGCTTCTGCTGCAGCTTCCTTTCCGCCTCAAGCTCCTTTTTAGATTTCGCCGCTGCAGCCGGCGCCGCCGCCGCGGCCGGCTCCACTTGCGCCGCAGCCGCGCTGCCGCCCGCTGCGGCCGCCGGCGCCGCAGCCTGCCCCGCCGCGGCCGGCGCGTCCGCAGCCCGTGCAGACTCTTCGTCCCGTCGCTGCACCTTCCGTGGCGGAGCCGCTCGCTCTTGCTCTTGCTGCTGCAGCTGCTGCGGCTGCTGCTGCTGCTCCTGCTTGTGCTGGTCCAGCAGGTCCTGCAGCACCTGCAGCTGCGGGAACTCCTCCTCGTCGTCGGTGTTATCGACCATCCCAGGCATGCCGTCCTCGTCAGCGTCGCTCGGCGGCGCGCTGCCCTCGTCTGCGTACGACCCTGAGCCCGAGACCGAGGCGAGCTCGGCCTCCATCCCCGGCATGCCCTCGGACGTGTCCACATCCTCCCCGGTTTCGCCGCCTTCAGGCGGGGCGGCGCCGCCCGCAGGGGCGCCGGCGTAGGCCGACGAGGGCGAGGGGCAGCTGGCGGCGCTGTCTGGGCTGATTTCATCTTCGTCGTCGTCCACGAGGCCGGGAATGTCCGCCTCGTCATCCTCGCCCTCGCCCTCTGCGCCGGGCGGCTGGGCCGCCGGCGCCGCCGCGCCGGCGGGCGGCGGCGCCGCGGCGAGCGGCGTGGCGGGCGCGGGGG